GTGTGTGTGTGGCCAGCTCAGCCCACCAGGGGGTGGGGCTGGCTGGCATGTGGTGCTGGGGGATTGAACTGCGGTCGCTGTGCTTTGCTAAGCTTGTTCCAAGTAGGTGCTTTAGACCACTGAGCCATCTCACCAGCCCTTTAACTACTTTTTAGCTGACTATGAATAGTTGTGAAATAAAGCAAGTCAGAGCTGTAAGAGTCAAGTAAACTGTTGGTGAATTTTTAAAAACCATTATTTATTTTATTTATTTAGTACAGTGTCTCACTATGCAGCTAAGACTTGTAGTGATCCTCCTGTCTCAGCCTCCTCAGTGCGAGGATTACAGACATGCATTACCATGCCCAGTTTCAATGGCTGGCACAGCACATCTGGGGTTCCTGGGCCAGCACAGCATGTGGTACCGGTGACTGAATCTGGGTCCTTGCACTAGCCAACCAGGTGCTTAGACTGCTGAGCTATCTCCCCATCCCCACTGTTCGTGAATTTTATGTGTCAATTTGACTAAACCACAAAGTGCCTAGACATTTGGTTTATGATGTATTCATGGCTGTAACTAATATTTGAATTAGTATACTGAGTAAAGTATATTGCCCTCCTTAATGTGGTTGGGCCTTATCCAGTCATTTGAAGTTATGACTTGAACAAAAAAGCTAAGCAAAATGGAACTCCTTCCTATGTTGGTCTTTTCTTGACGTTGCGCCCAAACCAAAACCTAGGTTATTAGACTTGAACTTATATCATTGGCCCTTGTGGTATTCAGACATCTGAAGTTAGACTGAACTATACGTTTGGCTCTCCTGTTTCTCTAGTTTGGTAATTGCTAATCTTGGGACTTTTCGGCCTCTATTACATGAGCTAATTGCTCATAATAAATTCCTATTGATTCTGTTTTTCTGGAGTATCCTCATTCATAAGTTTAGTCTTCTCTGGATTTATTTCCTGTGTCATCCTACGTTTGCTAGAACACGCTTAAGACCTGTCACAGCTTTCACATTACTAGTTGAGGATTCTTATCTGTTGCAGTCTGCTGTGAAATGTTCTTCTTTACCACCAGCTAAGCAAAAGAAAAGATGAATGTATTTTCCTAAAATTGGCAGCTTGATGTTTTAGAACATTTCATTCTAAGGCTAGACGCTTTTCTTTGTATTCTTGTTTTGCTGGGCTTTTTTCTCCTAAGCTCTCTATTCACATATTCACAAGTCTCAAAAGCATATGCATCTGTGTGTTCGTCAGTGTATTAGTCACTTTTCTGTCACTAAGGCACAGTATTTGATGCCTGCAACTTAAAAGCGGAGAGGTTTGTTTTACCTCATGATTTTAGTGGGTTTAGTTTATGGTTGGCTGACTGTCAGGCAGAAATGGCATGGTGAAAGGGTATGGTAGAGGAAAGCAACTGAACCCATGATAACCAAGAAACAGAGAGGGGCAGCTGGGTCCAATAATATACACTTATAGGTCACACCCAAAGTAGCCTGCCTCTTGCTATCAGATGCTACCTCTGAACTCAGCAGTAGATGGATCTGCTGATGAGTATAGCAACCCATGATCCAACCACCTTTCAAGAGCTGTACCTTTGAAGACATAAGACTTCTGGGGGACATTTTAGATTTAAACTATAGAGGATAACTTGCTGTCCCTATACTAAATACCTAATATAATCAATTTAGAATAGGGTTACTTTGTCTAATAAGTCCATGATTGGTTGGCCCTGTTGCTTTGTGGCTTGGCAGTACATCATAGTGGGATTGTGTAGTAGAGGAGAAGTTATATACTTCATGGTCAGGGAGCAAAATAACAGAGAAAGAGGCCAGGATCCTGCCATAATCATCTTTCAGACCACACCCCTATTGACCTACAACCTGCCCGTGTGACCCCACCTTAAATTATGTACCATTTTGCCATAATGCCAGGCTTGGGACCACGCTTTTTAACAAACAAATTTTGGGAGACATGGCAGATGCAGATTGTTG